TACTTGGGCGGGTATTCTTGACGATCAGGTAATTGGCCCTTTCGAGTTACCCCCAAAGTTGTCAGGAGAAGAATACTTTAGCTTTCTAGCCAGTAACCTACAAGAACTTTTGGAACAGACCTTAGACAACATGCCATTACAACGGAGACAGAATTTGTGGTTTCTTCATGACGGGGCATCACCACACATTTTTAGAGGCGTCATTCAGTATTTGAATGAACATTATACAGGGTGTCCCAGAAGGCGACGTCAAGCCGAAACCGGGTGATAGGCAAAGTCATAACAGCTATCAGAAAAATATTTAAAAAAATTTTATGTATGTGTTTTGAAAATTATAGGTCTTTGAAAAAAATATAGAAATTTGACACCCCACGGCAGTCTGTCAACTCCTGTTACTACAAATATTAACTTTTTTGGATTTTATTTTTACAATGTAATGATGAATAATGCATCTTCAAACTGGTGTCTCAACCTTACTACCAACTTTTCTCGTTCAGGAAAAATTGCCACTTATTTCCCAACCAAGTATTCCAAAGTAAAACTTTGCTCAACTTTAACTGGCTGTACTAGAAAAAAATGTACAACGAGAGTTTGGCAAGTAACCTTAAAAGTTGGCACATTTAATAAGGATTCCAAATTGGTATAACACTTAGAAGATTACTCGTTAACTTATGTACAATTTTTATTTGAAGAAAAACTGATGAAAATTTTTCAAAATTTCCTAATTAAACAGCGATTATGAAAACGCACAAGGACCCTTAAGGATAACTGTTTGCACAACAGTGGGCGTCAAAATGCTGATGATGATGATTTACCTTTACAGCAAATGCTCAAACTGTTTTCCTTCAGCCGCAATACACGCTCGACATCTTCTTAAAAAAGATCGGGTCATTACACGAGCGAATCCACGGTTATTAACAAACTCAGCTGCTTCCAATAGTCTTTGCCGTAGCTCAGCTACATTTTGAATCGGCTTGAAATACACTTTTTCTTTTACAGTTCCCCAGTAAAAAAATCTAAAGGATTCAAATCAGGTGATCGGGCTGGCCACGGTATTGTACCAGACCGCCTTATCCATCTGCCTGGAAAGTTTTGATCGAGATACTCTCTCACTAAGAGTGCATAGTGCGCTGGGCAGCCATCATGATGAAACCACATGCCCCTGTAAATACTCAGTGGCACGTCCACCAATAAATTTTGTACATGATTTTTCAAAAAATCCAAATAAACTTCAGCAGTCAAAGTCTCTGGGAACTCAAACGGACCGATTATTTTACCATTTAAAATTCCTGTCCAATGGTTTATCTTGAAGCGATATTGAGATTTATCTTCTCTCATCAAATGTGGGTTTGCTACGTGCCACTCGTGTAAGTTATGCAGGTTCATGTACCCATCTTTCTTAAATGTGGTCTCATCCGACCATAATTTTTTTTCAAAGAACTGTGGATCTTTCCTGTGTCTTTCTAACATTGTGCGACAAAAAGCAACTCGGGGCTCATAATCCCGGGGCAGGAGAGGTTGAACACGCTGTATGTGGTATGGATGGTATGGTATGAAAGGTACCCGGATGCAGCTCGTCATCCAGATCATCGAGTGTTCACAAATGTGCACCGCTTACTGTTTTCAGAGGGCCAACTACCAAACCAATCACACGGTGAGGGCAGATCTTCCCTTCCTTACGAAGACGTGGTGCTAGGAGCTGTCGAAGAAGACCCGAGTACTTCAGTGCGTGCAATAGAACTAAAAACAGGTATGCCCAAAAGTACAGCCCATAGAATCTTGCAAAAAACGTGCTCCATCCATACCACGTACAGCGTGTTCAAGCTCTTCTGCCCCGGGATTATGAGCCCCGAGTTGCTTTTCGTCGCACAATGTTAGAAAGACACAGGGAAGATCCACGGTTCTTTGAAAAAATTTTATGGTCAGATGAGACCACATTTAAGAAAGATGGGTACATGAACCTGCATAACTTACACGAGTGGCACGTAGCAAACTCACATTTGATGAGAGAAGATAAATCTCAATATCGCTTCAAGATAAACCATTGGACAGGAATCTTAAATGGTAAAATAATCGGTCCGTTTGAGTTCCCAGAGACTTTGACTGCTGAGGTTTATTTATTTTTTTTGCAAAATCATTTAGAAAATATATTGGAGGACTTGCCACTGAGTATTTACAGGGACATGCGGTTTCAGCATGATGGCTGCCCAGCGCACTATGCACTCTCAGTGAGAGAGTATCTCGATCAAAACTTTCCAGGCAGATAGATAGGGCGGTCTGGTACAATACCGTGGCCAGCCCGGTCACCAGATTTGAATCCGTCGGATTTTTTTTACTGGGAAACTGTAAAAGAAAAAGTGTATTTCAAGCCGATTCAAAATGTAGCTGAGCTACGGCAAAGACTATTGGAAGCAGCTGAGTTTGTTAATAACCGTGGATTCGCTCGTTTAATAACCCGATCTTTTTTAAGAAGATGTCGAGCGTGTAGTGCGGCTGAAGGAAAACAGTTTGAGCATTTGCTGTAAAGGCAAATCATCATCAGCAGCATTTTGACGCCCACTGTTGTGCAAACAGTTATCCTTACGGGTCCTTGTGCGTTTTCATAATCGCTGTTTAATTAGGAAATTTTGAAAAATTTTCATCAGTTTTTCTTCAAATAAAAATTGTACATAAGTTAACGAGTAATCTTCTAAGTATTATACCATTTTGAAATCCTTATTAAATGCGCCAACTTTTAAGGTTACTTGCCAAACTCTCGTAGTACATTTTTTTCCAATACAGCCAGTTAAAGTTGAGCAAAGTTTTACTTTGGAATACTTGGTTCGGAAATAAGTGACAATTTTTCCTGAACGAGAAAAGTTGGCAGTAAGGTTGAGACACCAGTTTGAAGATGCATTATTCATCATTACATTGTAAAAATAAAATCCAACAAAAGTTAATACTTGTAGTAACAGGAGTTGACAGACTGCCGTAGGGTGTGAAATTTCTATATTTTTTTCAAAGACCTATAATTTTCAAAACACATACATAAAATTTTTTTAAATATTTTTCTGATAGCTGTTATGACTTTGCCTATCACCCGGTTTCGGCTTGACGGCGACTTCTGGGACATCCTGTATATATCGCTGCATGGGTCGAAATACTCCTGATCTTCGAAAATGGCCAGCAGGATCTCCTGACCTGAATCCGATGGATTTATGGCATTGGTGAGAACTTAAAGGGATGGTTTATGGGGCCGGTCCAATAACAACTGAAGCACAACTTCGCGAAAAAAATTTCTAATGCTGCTGAAATAATAAATGGACAACTTCGAGGACCTAGAGTAAGAAGAAACTGGATTCGTCGTAATGGAGCTTGTGTGGAAAGTGGAGGACGACATTTTGAACACCTTCTTTAAATACAAAAAAAAGTGTAGTGTGGGTTTTAAAAAGAAAAGCAATGTATGTATCAAAATTGTGTTCCCTATTTATAAGTGGATTTTTTTAATACGTTCAGTAAACTTTCACACACCAGGTGAAGCGCTGAGACCGTTAGTGGTAAGTCCGTTTTTTTAATTGTTTGCATTTTACGAGTACATTGTTGGGACATTATAAATGGTAAGCTCTCTGCAGCTACACCACTGGTTGCAACTTTATGATATTTATTATGATGTGCTACTCTCGCGCAGTCACAGCAACGGGCAGAATATAAAAATGTAAGAGTCCGCCTGCCTGTAAACATGCATCCGTGCTGATATGTATTTTATTTCCCTGTTTCGTTTGCGGGATACACGCTTTATGAGGGCAATCTGGTTAAAAATTCATTCCGGGTGTAAATTGTTGGTGGTTGCTGATGCAGAAACCGTGCCGCGCTGTTTCATCATTCGCTATATGATCAGTACGCAGAGAGAAAAAGATATCCTTGTGATATATAAAGTTAGTAACATATACATACATGTAACGTAAAATACTCAAAACAATATAACAGTACTTGCATGTTTTTTTTTTGTCCTAACCACTTGTATAATAGAGTAACGGACAATATCGCATCAACAATGAACTTATAAGTAAGAAATATTGCTGATATCTTCGACCCTAGTTTAAGATTTGACAAATTATGCGTCATCTTCTATCGAAAAGCACCTACATCAAATTAAGGTATGCTAATAGATTCATTTTGTCCTTGTCTTGACTCAGTGAATCGGTGTAGAATCCAAAGAATGCAAAATAACTGCTCTAGGTTTGTGTATGGTTCTTGAAAAACGTATCTCCTCTAACGTCAAGGAGTTGAAATGGCTGAAAATTTGAATGTAATTTCAAGATATTTGTGCACAAAATAATATGAACTGAAAAGCCTACTTCAATCTTAGTTATATGTGGCATAACAATAACGTTACACTTTGCACTACACGTTTTAAAAATGTTTTACTTCCAATGCAGTGAGGTTGTCCAGCTCTGGAGAAGCAAAAATGTTGTAACTAACTAACAGGAAGTTGGTTAATAATGCTGTTAGATCTGTTCAAAGTTATTCAAATTCAAATTCAAAAACCAATATAACTTACAAATTAAAAACAACCTTCAGTACAATTTAAATAAAAAAAGCTTCAAAAATACATGAGCTTGTATGCTCTTGCTACCCTGAATAACCAAGATTGCAACAGAAATCTGAGCAAAGATACTAGCATCAGAACCAGCAAGTAACGGTATATGAATTGTGAAAATTCTGTATACTTTCGTAAAGGGTAAATGTCTGGATCTTGTCACAAATCCTAAATTACGTTTCTGCATAAACAAATCTAAAATTCATAACAATAGTACAGAAACTTACTCAAAACACTCAGAAGTATAAATATAGAGTACATAAAATATGAATATCTGAAATATGATAATAGAGGTCAAACTATGTTGTTTAAACAATAAAAATTTTGCGTAAAGGTTAAGCACAGAAACAAGAATACTACAATTTACTACAAAAGAATTTACTGCAAAATAATAGACACCTAAGCTATAAGCTTGTGTGTGTCATACAATATACAAATTCAATGCATGGCTAATAGTCATAAGGTATATTATGAGCAAATGTATATAAAAAAAAGAAATAAAATTAGTTACTCTGTTTCTGTAGGAAATATAGGACTTTCTCAATATCATATTATCATTATCTTTCGTCAAACTCTGTTTCAACTCATCTCTCTTCTTGATCGAAGTAAGAATACCTTCAGTCATCCACGGCTTGCGTTTTCTGGTCTTACTATTTATTTTTAAATAATAAGTTGAATGATCTATGCCTTTATATAATTCATTATAGAAGTTATCAGTTGCTTTTTGGACATCACTCTCTGAAAAAACACTGTCGCAAGTCACCACTTGTAAATAATCTGTCAACTTTTTCTCATCAATTTTCTTAAATTCATAGCTGTTTTTATTAATGATACAATTACTTCCTTTCAAATACCCAAAATTGAACAAAACAGGATAATGATCGGTCATACAATTTTCCAAAAGTATTGGTTTACACTCAATTGCTGTTTCAGAGACCTTAAATCTGTTTGCCTTCAAAAATATGTGGTCGATAATCGTAGATGAGTTAGAATCTACCCTAGTAGGTGTATTAATCTGAGATATGTACCCGTTCTGTTGCAACATATTCACGTATCCTAAATTACTGTATTCATGTTCTCTGAATAAGTCTATATTTATATCACCCACCAACAATGAAATGTCACAGTTTGCAGTACTTCTCAAATACGAATCCAAATTGTTTACAAAATCCTGTACATTTGTGGAATTAGGCCTGTAGATACCAGTAATACTGAAACTGTTATTGTTGAAAATAAAGCTATTCAATGCCGTCACTACATCTATCATTTTTATGGAAAATTTGCCGAAATGTCATCTCTTACATACATACAAACCCCATCGCATTTATTATACTTGGCTTCATTATAATTAATTTGGAAGCCATTTATTTTATAACTGTCGATATTACTGATATTCCAGGTCTCACTCAAAACAATGATACCTATATTTTTATTCTTATTTAACACCGCTATGTTTATACAAAGCTCATCATAGTAAGCTTGCAAGCTCCTGATATTGTAATGAAGTATAGTGAAGTTTAACTTATCACTTCTCTCAAACAGAACACTATTTAATTCATCAAAATTAGAACAACTGATGGTCGTGATATTGTTATAATCCTCTAAAATATTCAAAGCTGTATCAATATCAGTCATATACAAATCAAGCTAAACTCAATATGAATGCAGAAAAAACTGAAACTAACTAAACTGCTACAACTAAACAATGGCTCAGTTATGTAACAAATTACAACTCGCCCTTAAAATTCTTTTTTTTTGTTTTTTTCCTGTATTTTCATAAACTTCATTATCAGCTCTCATCTGTTCCCTTTTTGATAAACCACGTAGCGTGGAGTTGTCAATAGAATACGTTGTTTGTTCTCCTTTTCAAGTTCACTTCGTTGAAAGTCAAATCAATTTATTCATTTATAGGTTGGTATGTATCTTATTTTGTATTATATATGTAATAGACGCGTTATCGACGAAATAGAGCTACAAACGGTTATGCGAAAACGTTATGCAGAATTTTAATACATATTTCCTCACAAAATGCGGTTGGGTATAGTCAAAACTAAATTTCGCCTTATTGTTGTGATTCTAATAAAGACATTTCAGTACTACGAGCCCCTGCCCACTTCAGTTGGCCCACTTCAAAATTTGTACCAAAATATGCCTTTATAAACTAAACATGACGAAATTATTTACTTCTAAAACAATTTATTTTCTCAAAAACATTTTAGATACACTCTAGTCATAAAAAATACATATATGAAATCACTTAGACCTATAACTAATAGAACATCTGAAGAAATAAACAATGTGCGAATAAATGCGCGAAGTTAACAAAGCAACAATTGAAAGATTACCATTGGGTAACATCACCTTTATTTTTTATTACGGCTGAAATTCTTTCTGGCATAGTGTTAACCAAGTTCTGGAAAAAATTTGGTGTAAACCAATCCCATATTTCTTGACGCTTTTGTCTCAGTTCGGTGATTGTACGAACAGGATGTTGTCGTAGCACCTTTTTCATCTCGTGCCACAAAGTTTCAATAGGTGACAGATCTGGACTGCTAGAAACCCATTTCAAAAGTGGCACATTATTCTCTTCCCTCCATTTTATAGCCTTTTTTGAGGTATGGCACGCTGCACCATCTTGCTGAAATACAAAATCTTGGCCGGATGTCAAACATTCTTCCATCACTGGTGAAAGCGATTCTTCTAAAATTGCCAAGTATTTGTTTGTATCCATATTTCCATCTATAAAATGAAGTTTTCCTACTCCTTTTGATGACATACCATAATGGATGCTGGAAATTTCACTTTTTTCTTCAGACAGTCAACATGGAATGCTTAATGTTTTTTCGAATAACTCTACTGCGACTGTCACCAACACAAACTTCGAATCGGGCCTCAGCACTCCATTGTATTGCACACCACTGTTGAGTTATCCATTGTCTATGTTCTTTAGATTTTTCTTTTGCAGTGGAGTTAATAGTGGCTTTTCTTTGGCCTATAAACAAGTTGTGCAACTTTAGGGTTTTTACTTCACTTTTTTTTATAAGAAAACTTACCTTGCAATTGCTAAATCCCAGTTTGTGGGCCTCTCTGTGAGTTGTGGACCTCGAAATTCTCCTTCCAACAGCGTCACTCCACAGAACACTTAATTCTAAATAATTGGCACGCCTGTTTTTCACTATTATTCTTCTTAATGCTCTTCGGTCGGCATTTGTGATATTACTTTTTTTCACATATCGTGGCTTAGTATTAACTGAACCAGTTAAGTTATATCTTCTAACAATATTTCTCACACTGTACCGCGATAAGTCTAACAAAGTTGCAATTTCTGAGTTTGATTTCCCAGAATTAAAAAATTTAATTATCAGTAACCGAATTTTCTCACTAATAACCTTTCCTCTACCCATTTTGAAAACCTGAACTACCCAAAACTATTTTAAACGTATTCTGACAACTGTGATTAATAAAAAACAATTGTCATGGCTTTTATTTTTCACAGCCACCTATGCGTTATAGACTTATTTTGCATTGAAATGAAAATAGGTTGATAGGCTGTAATTGCAACATGTGTTATTTTTATGCTGCAAATTTGATTAGGGAGTGATAATGTTGGTGTTTTCTACTATATATTATCAAAATATTCATTGTTAATATTTTAAACGTATAACATCCTGCTACATTTTTATTATTTGTGTTTGATAAGAAAAAAACTAAGATTTCAATAGTTGGGCCAAATGAAGTGGGAAGGGGCTCGTATTATATACTTGCTTACAATGTTACATACTTATTCAGTCATTTGTAGTTACCAACAACTATCATGTATCATGCTCTTCTAATATGCAAATCCTCATTTAATGGCCACGCAGAGAAGCCTCGCTAGTGGGTGTTCCTTTGTTACTCAGTACGGATGCGGGTGTTCCTCAGGGATCAGTATTCTCCCCAAGATTTTTCTACAGAATAATTGTGTTTCCTGCAGATTGTTGGTGTTTGATGCAAAATTAATGATGTCGTCACTGCTGTTGCTACATCATCCGTTCTTTTCTACCTTGTGCTGTGCAGTTCGATATGCAGAAAGTTGGAAGGGTCCAGCATTCATACGAAAATGTTAGTTTTTTGGCTTTTCAGGTGTGTGGAAAAAGTTTGTCAGTCTCAGGGGATCTGATCTCAAAGTAGTGCAGCACTGTTTTATGGGCTCAAACCATTATTTATAATTTACGTATCGTAAAACATTTCGCAACCACGCGGCAAAGAACAATGTTTCCTCCTTCATAATACAGACTACAATTACCTAGCACTTAAAGCACGATTCTATCAATAATCTCTTGAGAGAACCAATTCAGATGTGGGAAGAAGTAAACTTAAATTATCATCATGAGTGAAGAGTTTCTTTACAAAAACGCGGAAACCTTGAAGTTCACCTTAATTTTCGAGTTTTGCTGCAATTTGTTTATTTTATTTGTTTTATGGCTTTTGTTATTTTTTGAGTGATCATAAAAAAAAGTTAAATGGCTTAGGCTACAATGTGGCTTCAGTTTAAATGACTGCACTGACTGATCCATGGAATTACAAAGAGACATGGACAATTTTGTCTATTTTTATGAGTGAGAATCTTTAAGTCCAAATGAGTAATTTGAAATTATCAAAAATGTGAATTTCGAGCAGTCGTTCATCTCTTGCTGCTAGAATATATCGCATAGTATTCCTCGTAGGCCCAAAAACTTAAATAGGTATCATGAGAATAACAAATTATAAATCACACTTTTATCAAATAACGCAAAATTTCGGAATTGTATCTAGACTTCACTTGTTTTTGACATAATAAAACCATCCTGTCCGAATCTATGTACAGAGCAAGAATCATCCGCGGTCTCATCCATAAACGATGATCCCACTTCTGAACGCGGTGCAACGCCGCTGGGACATGGGATGTTGGCTCTCAGTGGAAAACCGCTTTGCGCCGGGAATATGATGGGATATTAGGACGTGAAGCGGTAGCGGTGCCAGCAACGTTGGCTATAAACTCTGATTTGCTCTGGCGCCGCCATCGCGGTTTTCATCAAATATTCAGCAAACAATCATCATGGCTGTGCCCGTTCCAGACCCCGCAGGACGCCACCCGACCTCAAATATTCATGGAAGACTCTTAAATTCCAGCTTCTGGCTCCTGGCTACCGGCAGGCAATGCTCCTCGCTTATTCGCTACACAAATCGACTGGCGGTGTTGTCAAATTTTTCAGATCAGGAACGCTGATTCAGAAAGCTGGGAAGTATGATTAGTAGAGAGTCAGACGAAATTGTTCTCTAGCAGTTGCACCTAGATTTGGCACTCTAAATAATGATCCATAACTTCAATGATACCCGTTCATATAACTTCCGATCTGCTACGTGACAAGTAAGTAGTTTTTGTAACATCTGAAAGTCCAGTCCTCCACAATAGCATATTGGGCTTAACCGATAGCATTTTTAGTAAAACACTTATAGTCTCACGGGCTTCCTATTGAACTTCACCAACATCATTATCATCATCATCATCTTCGTCATCGTCGTCATCGTCGCCATCGTCGTCATCGTCGTCATCGTCGTCGTCGTCGTCGTCGTCGTCATCATCATCAATCATCATCATCATCACCTTCCGGAAAACTGTTTTCATATTAGGTTTATAGATGAAATTGACTTTTTTCATGTGGTAAAAATAACAGGAATTTGGATATGGTTCCAGGAGAAAATAAGAAGAATCGTAGTGGATACTAACGGATACCGACGGTGCACGATGGATACATAAGGAAGTAGTTATTTTTTCTTACAATAAGTTGCAACAAGCATTTGTTCATTGTTATCGTTAGGGTACTATTTTGTAATGATAAATCCAAATTGACGTCATAATAGGACCGGAGCTTTAGCCCCCATTTTGATAAACGTGCTCAGCGAATTGCCTCTCAGGATATCAATCTAGCATAAACAAGTGATAGGATCATTTTCCGATGTTTTAATCCCATACAATTCTACCGTACGGTCAGCAGAGAAATTTCAAACGCCAAAGTCATAAATAACCACTATTGCTCATATCTGATAAACTAGTAACTCAAACTCCGATTACTTTTTACATAAAATAAAATTTTCTACTAAAAAGGTAATTTTTCTTCAGGTTGATGGTTCTTGAAGTATAAGGACTGAAAGATCAACATTCAAAATGTTCAAGCATCATGGTTCACACGCTATATACGCCAACTATGCGACCATGCATCGAGAGCCATCGAGTTCACGTTCTCA